AATATTTGAAAAGACATTTCTCCAAAGAAGATACCAGCCAGTAAACACACAAAAAGATCCTCGGTCTCATTAACCACTAGGGAAATACAGATCAAACCCACAGTAAGATACTACTTTATACCTACTCTCAGTTGTTCTCTCTCATTGCAATAGAATCAGTTCCACCTTATTACCGACCATTCAGATTTCCATGGCCATTATTTGCACTTAAAAAGTTCTTTTTCCCAAAGTGTGGTGGATTCAGACTGCCAGAGAGGTGCCACCTTTAAGTTAGCTCAACTCCCTAGGTACTACTGCACCAGAGCTCTCTTCGTACCTATTGCTGCTACCATTATGTGCCATTGATTCGGAATGTGCCCATAACAAACCCTCCAGCAAGTTTTCAGAGGCTGTAAATCAGGTAGGATGAGATTGCACATCTTTCTCCCTTGTAGCAGCTGGTAGATATGAACCACCTAGTAGGCCCCCAGAGCTCCCCACCAACTGGAATGCCTGTAATACTAAAATAGAAAAAAATTATGAGCAATGACAAGTATTAATGAGGATGTGTATTAACTCATTGATGTTAAAAAATTTTCCAACCATTTTTTTGAAAGTTGGGTAATTTCTTACAAAGTTTAATGTCCTTAAACCACACCAAAACCCAAAGCCACTGAGTTCATTTCAACTCCTACTAACCTTAAAGGACAGAGTAGAACTGACTTACCAAATTTCCAAGAAAGCAAATTTTTAGAGAGACATACTGCCACATTTTTCTCCCTTGAAGCAGGCTGGTGGATTTGAACCATCAACCTTTCAGCGTTCTTAGTCATTGCTCCACCAAGGCACCTCATATTACCATATACCTGGCAATCTAGTTATTTCTCCAAGAGTGTCAAACATGAAAAATCTATGAAAAAGACTCATGCAAAAATAATAGTGGCAGGGAGCTCTGGTGGCCTAGTGGCAAGAAGCTGCATTGCAATCCCAGAGGTACACAGTTCAAAGGAGGGGCAATCTCCTCCAGTACCAGTCAGATCTGATTTGACGGTACATGCACAAAAAATAATAAACTTTAAAAAAAATAATAATAATAATAATAATAGTGGCAGGTTTAGTCGTTAGTAACCAAAAAGCAGAGGGGGAAGGTATCACTGCAATAATGTAAGAATATGTGGCAACTCAATTTGATGGAATTTTTTCTGGCTTAAAAATAAAAACAAACAAAAACCCTTAACATGCATGACCACATGTATATATTTCAAAAACATAAAGTTATGTGTGAGCTCTGATAGCATAGTCTAGCAAATTGTGCTGTTGCAAACCCAAAGGCAGCCCTTCTGGTAGTTCATATCCACCAGTGGCTACATGGGTGAACAATAGGCAGTCTCTTCCCGTTAAATTTATAGCCTCCAAAAACTACTAGGAGGTCAGCTATAGATTAGTTCTGACTCCTTAACAATGTTGTTGGTGTCTCATCAGTTGGATTTTCAGAGGCTGTAAATCGCACGATAGACTTCTCCCACAGAGCAGCTGGTGGATTTCAACCTTGTGCCTTTGAGATTGCAGCACAGATTCTTACCACCAGAGCTCCTATAACAATGTTTAAAAAAAAAATCCATGTATATAGAGTTGTTGTTGTTGTTGTTACCATTGAGTACGACACATAGTGACCCTAAGAACAACAGATCTGAGCCCTGCCTTATCCTGTGCCATCCTCACAATTTCTGACACACTGTAGCCCATTGCAGCAGTTGCTGAGTCACTCCATCTGGTTGGGTGTCATCTTGAGTCATTCCGTCTGGTGGGGTAGCCTCTTCTCTTTCACCAACCCTCCCTCTTCCCAAGTATGAGGTTCCTCTCCAAGGAAGAGCCTTTTCTAGCAACACACCGGAAATATGTAACACTAAGCTTTATTATCTTTGGCTCCAAAGAGTACTTTGGCTTCACTTTCTCCAAAACATATGTTTTTTCTTTTGGCAATCCATGGGATATTCAGAATTCTTCTCCAACACCACAGCTTAAAGACATCACTTCTTCTTCTGTCATTGTCCTGCTCTCAAATGCATAGCAAGTGATTAAAAAGACCATGGCCTGAGACTAAAGTTGAGATCTTGCTTGGAAGTTTGACGTCTGATTATAATTAATTACCTAGACTGAGAAGTGCAGGAGGAATGGACTGTACAGAGACACAAGGGAACGTTTTAGTTGATAAAGATATTCTCTACTTTGTTGTAGTGTAGTTATGTGTATGTATACATTTATCTAAACTCACCGAGTTAGTGAATTTTTATCATATAAATTATATTTAAGTAAAAATTTTTTAAATAAAAAAAATACTTTAAAATTCTTTACATAGAGAAGTATTTTTTAAAACAAAGAAAATACTTAAAAAATGAAAAATTATCACATGCAGTGTGAGTGTCTTAAAGGTTTTTTTAGTTTTGTTTGTTTGAGGGGTTTTTTTGCCTTAAAATTTTTTAAAATACGTAGACATGTATTTATTTTACTAGGATTTTGGGATCACAGGTAAAATGTTTACTTGTGATTTAAATTTTTCCCCTCTTTTTAAAAATGTCAATGTCTTAGAAATAGATAGATACAATAATATATACACAATGAAAGAATTTTTTTTCCAAAGAGAAAAGCGAATTGGGGGGCCGGGCAGGGAGGAAAATGTGCAACAATGAATGAATGGAAATCGAATTCTCTATAAACTCTTACTAAAATCTCAATTTAAAAATTTTTAAAAATATATACAGAATTTAGGCGACAGAGGGGAGGCGGAAAAAGAATATATACAGAATTTGGAGACGGGGGATGCAGAAAAGAAGAATATATGCAGAATTCTGTATATATAGATAGAAGACCAGAGTGCAGGGGGGTGGGGGAGCATTAGGGATTAAATATTCAGCTGCTAACTGAAAAGCCAGGGATTCAGACCCATCATCACCTCCATGGGAGAAAAGACTTGGCAGTCTGCTCCCATTAAGATTGTTGTTGTCAAGCAACAAATACTGGCGAGATTGTGGAGAAACTGAAACCCTTATTCACAGTTGGTGGGAGTGTAAAATGGTGCAGCCACTGTGAAAGGCAGTGTGGCGCTTTCTCAAAAAGTTGCAAATAGAGATACCATTTGACCCAGCAATTCCACTACTGGGAATGTACCCCAAAGAGACCATAACTGCCCCCCAAGCAGATATATGCACACCCATGTTTATCATGGCTTTGTTCACAATAGCAGAGTTGGAAACAACCTAAGTGTCCATCAACAAACAAATAGAGAAGCTGTGACATATTACACAATGGAATACTATGTTGCATTGAAAACCAAGGAACTCATGCAATATTATTCAAAATGGGTGACCCTGGAAGACAGTATGCTGAGTGAAATATCTCTGTCATACAAGGACAAATAATGCATAGTGCCACTGTTGTTAAACAGGACTGATGTTGGGGTCGGGGAGAGACTGAGAAAGATGGGATAAATAATGTATACTTCATTGAAACAGATGAGGGAGAGAACTGTTTAAAAGGGATATGTGATTAGGTATTATTGTCATGACAGGAGTCCAGAACGAAGGCTGCGTAGTGGAGTGGACCTGGGGAGAGGGATTGTGAAACAATGAAAGATTTTTTTTCCTTTACTTTTCAAAGAGAAGAGTGTGCTGGGAGTAAGGGCGGGGTGGGCAGGGAGAAAAGTGCAACAATGAATGAATGGAAATCCAAAGTCTGTAAATTTTTCATTATAATTAATAATAATTTTTTAAAAGGGGGAAAAAAAGATTGTTGTTGTTAGGTCTTTTCTCCTGACCGCCTTTCAAGGAGGTAAGTCTATCCCTTTTGCAATGTAGCTTTCTAATAAATCTATAATTATTATTTACTGTAAAAAAATTGTTGTTACCTGCTCTTTAGTAGACTGCAAGACTATAACTTATAACTCATAGCAACTCTGTAAACAAGTCTGTACTTTAACCCATCCTGCACCATCCACACCATGCTCAAGTCTGTTATTGCAATCACTGTATCAATCCATTTTATTGAGCGTTTTCCTCTCTTTTACTGACCCTCTCTGTTTTTCCAAAGACTGGCCTCTCCTGACAACATGTCCAAGCATGTGAAGCCAGAGTTTCATCATACCCTCCAGGACATATTTAGTGCTCTTCTCCAGCACCACAGTTCAAAGGCATTGATTCTTCTGTCATCCTTATTCATTATCCAACTTTCAGATGCATACAAAGCAATTGAAAATACCCCCCCACAAAAAAACAGAAAGAAATGCTACCCTACAGAGAGGTAGCATGATGAAATTCAATTTAAAATTAGCCACATCTGGATTCTTTATTGACTCTCTTAGCTATAAGCAAGTTCCTTCTCAAAAGCCTCAGATTTTGTATTGATAAAAAGAAAAGTATAGTGACTAATTCACAGAAAGTGCTCAAGAAATACTGGCTTCCTTCTCCTATCATTAGTGCACGCCTCCCACTGTAAGATAATTCTTTGTAACGAAATGTCTTTCACTCTTTCAAGTATGTTTCAAGTTAAAATGCTAAGAAATCTGGGAGGGGGAGGGGAATACCATGACTTGAACCTGGCACCTCTTACTCTTTAAATTGACATTCCTTGCTCTTTGACACTTTAAGGAAATACTTAACAGTAGATTTTCCCAATGCAACACATTATTAAATGTTTACTTGGTACTTTGTACAGTACATATAATCTTGGTGGTATTTATCTAACTAAAACTCTGGTGGTGTAGTGCATTGTATGTTGTCCTGTTCTTCCAGTTGCTTTTAGGAAGAAAGATACATATTCTCTTCTCATACAACAGTCTTGGAAATTTGATGAAGGTTTGCTAGAAGTCAGAACAAACTCAGTAGGAGTAGATGGGAAAGCCTGTGGTAGTGGTCAGTACTAAAACAAACATAAGCTGAATTTAAGTGGAAAAGTCTCCAGATAACTGATTTCTTTTGAGGTATTTTTAATGTTTTAAGTTCTTCTTCCTGTTTTTTTTTTTTCAGCCTCAAGGTATTGTAGTATGCTGATTGAAGAAGGAGGATTGCAGCATTTGTACAACATCAAAGAACATGAACAGACAGATCCCCATGTCCAACAAATTGCTGTGGCCATTCTGGACAGCTTAGAAAAACATATTGTGCGTCATGGGAGACCACCTCCCTGTAAAAAGCAGCCCCAAGGCAGACTAAACTGATAGCCATAGATAATTTGGTGATTGAATTACAGGTGTCATTTTATCATTGGTTCATTTGAAATATCTTGCCCTCTATGATGTTTTTAGGGTTTCTATGACAAAAGTCATAGGATCAGTTTGGGATTTACTATATACACTACTGCCCATGTGAACAGTCTTGAGTTTGTCTTGTGATTTTTTAACTTATGAGGCAAGAAGGTCTCTTCCTTCATCAATGCCTTTTAGGAAATTTTCCACATCTTTCAGTGTTTGAACTTAACCTGTGCTTGAGATGATACAGTTTTATGATAAAGTTTGCACGAACCTTTAGGCCAGACTTTTCTGATTTCAAAGTCCCTTTCAATTTGCAGCTTTCAGATAAGCTGTTAACCTGATTTCTGGCACCGCTTTCATTGCAAATTTTATACTGCTTCTGTATAAAATGCCTTTATTCTGTCTGTGTATCTTTTAAAAGATATCCTTCTTCATGCGCAAGGATGGAAATCAGAATCCTTTCCTGTGGAAGCTACTCAACAGCTGGACCCTGGCTGGCTGGCAGAAAAATGTGGTCGAAAGAAAAAATTCTATGGAGAGAGAGTTTAGAGGCTGGGAAAGGTCTACTGTCATAGTATAGTTTTTTAAAATAGGATTGGCCCACCTCTCCAGAGGCAGTGAGCAGTGGCTTGTTCTCCATACTTAGACCTGGAAACAGGTACTGCTGCTGCCTGTAGACTCCTGGTTTCTCTTGAGAAATGTTTCCCTAAGTATTACCTTACAAAACATTACAGCATTCTGTGTTAAAAAGCAAAATCTCAATGTAATAATGTCGTTAAAATGTGACTTTTTATAAAATTTTTTCTGGTAAAATTGTCCTTTTCCTCCTCCTCTGTTTCATAGTAAGTTTTTGTTCAGTGAAGTAGAGACTATAAATGGTGTCACCTCCTCAGTTAAGGTACACTTGACAATAGTAAATTTTGCCATGAGAAGTTTACTTTTCTTTTCTTACAAAATATATGTATTTATGAATCTGTTCATGTTGGATAAAGATGTCCACATCTCACTGCCAAAAGTGAAAGTGACAAATTAGATTATTGTTAAATGTAATTGTTATCATTTGAGTGCATATGATGAGATTTTGTGTTAATTTTTGTTTTTTAAGTAATTGCTTTAAGGTACCTGTTATAATATGTTAAGGATAAGTTATTCTAAAAAAAAAAATAACACTTAAGAAAATAAAAGCAACACTTGAAAGGCAGCAGGTCACCAAGAAAGTTAATTTCCTTTAAATTCTATTTTATGAATAGATTAGTTTGCAACTCAGAAGATCATATTGTTTTCACAGATGACTAAATTATTGTCAATTGAGGGGTTTTTTTGGTATGTTTCAGTTGTAATAATTCAGAAGCATTTTTATTTAAAGAGGAGCTGATGGATAATATTTTGACATGCTTCCCACTGCTTTCATAGTAATCAGACTTGAATAATTTGACACAAGGAAGAAAACGGATAAAATAGGTATTTAGACCTATTAAATTATGAGTTAATTCTGAATTTAAGGAAATTTTAAGATAAATTTTCACAGAGTATCAGTGGAAACAGAATTCTGTAACATTTTTGTTTTCACTTCTCCCCTCTCCCCCGCTTTTTTACTATATTTTAATATCTAACAAACAGCAAGACAGAATGCCGAAAATAAAACAGGCCTATTAATAGCTTGGAAGTTGCTAGCTGCATTGACCATTTCCAGGTCTCCTACCTAGTGTAGTAAAGGGAAAGCCTATGTAGTAAGTTTGAGTTTATGTTTCTCTTTTACCCTATTTATGGTAAAGGTGCATGTTCCTTACAGGCTCAGAAAGCTAAAAATCTAAAGAAAATAGTTCCTTCTTTATAAAATTTATGATAGGTGAAGATTCAAAAACATTTAAAATTCAATTTAAATTTACTAATTTAAATATTAGTAGTGACCAGATACTTTTGAGTCCTGAAAGTAAAATAACTGGTCACATCTCAATTATCTAAAAATTTTAGTGCCTTTGTGGTTGGAATGGTTTTTAATTTTATTTATGATTAAGGCACAGAATTGTCTGTATGTTCTTGGATCTGGCTAAAATATAGTATTAATATATGTATATATTAGAATTATGAGGCCTAACTGCCTCTACAGTTAGAATCCATTAGGACTCCCTTTTGCAGTTGTATACTAGAATGTAACAGGACTTGGTGCCTTCAAAGGTTACTTGTTAGGTGGCTTCAGGTGCTCTTTCAAGCACAATTTAGACTAGGGATGAACCACTCATTACTCAAATTGTTGGTGCACTCAGATATTTTAAAACATCATTATGAATTTCTTGGTGGTGGTACAAACAGTTAACATTACAGGCTGCTAACCATACAGTTGGAGATTTGAGTCCGTCTACAGGTACCTTGGAAGAAAGACTTGGCATTCTCCTTCCCACAACAATCAGCCATTGAAAGCCCTGTGAAGCACAGTTCTACTTGCATGCACATGAGGTCACCATGAGTCAAAAGCAACTTGATGGAAGTGCTAATAAGAAGAGACACTACACAACTAATAGCAAGGTTTAGATTAACCAAGAGGAAATGGAATATGACTTTTTAGAGTGTAGTAATACATGTTGAGTAATGCATGTAGTAGTGTATATATCCTTGAGTAAAACAACAGTCTGAAATTAGGGCAAAAATAGATAAGGCAACTTATTCTTTCCATCAAGTAGATTTTGCTATGGCCTTTATACTTTTCAAATATATATATATTTTTTTTTAAAATTTTTTTTAAAAGAAATAAGCCAAGTAGTAATAAGGAACTTGTTTTCCATCTAGCCAGGGACACAGACAGGGGCTACTGATATTTGTTGAAGATTTTATTTTTACTTATTTATTTTTTCAAGTTGAAAATCTTTAAAAGCATATTAGACCCATAGTTTCAAGAATTGCTGCTTTTCACCTTACCTAGTGTGTATAAGATACATCAGTAATAGAATAATGTAACCAATTTTTTATTTAAACACAAACCTATCATGATCAAGTACATTATAACCCTTAGTGGTCCTCCAGAACTGTCCCACAGAGTTTGACTATCTTTACAGAGCCAATCACCACATTTTTCTTCAACAAAGCAGCTGGTAGATTTGAATCACTGGCTTTTTGACTAGCAGCTGAGCGTTTTAGCCACTGTGAAACCAGGACTTCGTTATTTTAGTATTTTAAAATGCATCTTCGCCCTGCCACACCACTCCCCCCCCCCCAATAGAACAATGGACAACAGTACCTGAAGTTGAAGAGAGGTTATAAGTAGCAGAAAAGTAAACTTTTTATTTTGTATATGGTAAAACATGGCTTCCCTTCTTTCCTCTAATGGTTTGTTTACATTGCTAGGTTAGTGTACAAATTTTATCTTGGGATAAACAGTATTATTAAGCTGAAGACCTAAATTAAGAACAGTATCAAAGTGTCAGTTGATGTGGGCTCTTCCAGCTTTCTTAGTATGTTACTTATTTGGGGACTATTGTACTGTTACGGCTTCAGAGTGATGTTCTGAGACAGCTTCCAGAGAGGTTTGCTAACTTTTGATTTCCCTCTCAAATCCTATGTAGCAGTTTCAAATGATTGTGTGGATATTGTATGTTTAGCCTTTACTGTTTGATGTGTGTTAATGCATTTTTAATTTTTTAGTGTTAGCTCATAAACTTCATTTTGGGAATAATGCTGAACCAGCCTTGATCCAGTAGTGAGAATAGCAAATATAATAGGAAAATTTGTTGAATGTGCTTCTAATGAGTAATTATTTAGTAGTTCACTGAATGAGCATGAGACGGTACACTCCTAATTAATACATTCTTTAGTTACCAAAAGCAAATCTTAATCTGAGACACCATATAACTAATTTTAAGAATGAGCTTTTTCTGCTTATTTCTCCCCTCCCTTTTTTGAGTAAATTATGCAAAGTTCAATAATAATGTTTTTAATTACTCCAAAACTTGTTTGGATACCCTAATTTATAGTGAGGCAGAATGACTGTTGAGAATATTTGGAAAATCCAAATTATCAAAATTATTTTCTAGGAAATCGTAAATACTAGTTCAGTTAGAGTATGTGTTTTAGACTTACTTTTGAAAAAACAGTCCTAATTGTGTACTTGTTAGCTTATTTTAATCAACATAGAAGCACGAAGCTACTAAGTTAATAAACACTGAGAAAAGTGTTTATGATAGATATTCTTGAAAGCACTTTTTTTTCCTTTCAAAATGACAGGATGTTAAGATTTAAACTCACAGATAAACTGCAGGAGTAAAATAAATCCCTGTAGAATTCACACTGTCAGGTTCTTACTGACTTTTGTTAGAGCTGTCTTTTGCTTGAATTGTGAGAAAGAGCTTAACTCCTTTCAAAGAACATGATAAATTCATTGGAAATTGTAATGTGTGTATAATTCAAAGACTCTCAGTTATATCTGGACTCAAGGCACTGTTCCCACCGTGGCCACATGAATGGGCCTGTTCTGTATAAGAATCATGCTACATTTTAAATCAGGATATCACTTAGTATTAATGTGTGTACAGATTTTTCTTTGGGAATTTTTTTTCCTAAATAAATGTTATAAATTTTATGTAAAGAGTGTCTTGTCTGTTTTCATTCTAGACATATGCTTTAACAGTTAACACTAATACAAAAGAACAAACAAATCTATGTTAGAGGAAGTACAGCCAGAGGGATTCTTAGTGGCAAGGATTGTAGAAATTTATCTCAGTTACTTTGAGCATATTGTCAGGAGGGGCTAGTCGTTGGAAGAAGACAACATTCTTCTTAGATAGTCACCTAAGAAGAGGAGGCCCCTCAGTGGGATGGATTTAAACAGTATGACTACAGCAGTGGGTTTGATCACCGTGTAGATCATGAAGAAGGCACAGGATAGGGCAAGGTTTGCATCTGTTGTTCATAGGGTTGCTGTGAGTCATAGTCGATGATGCCTAACAAAAATGGCAACAATTCAAGATTCAGAT